ACATCAACACTTGCTGTACCAGCAAATATTCCTGAAAGAGTTAGCGCAAATTCTGAAGTACTTATACCAAATCTTAACAGTTCCATAATTAGTTCACATAATTTATATGATACAGAATTTCAATTTACTCGTTTTGATGTTTGGTATGCTGATCCTGCTGGTGGACAAAGATGGTTTCATATGACTGAAATTCATGATTTTGCTGTTGGTCTTAGTTTTCAATATAATAATACTAATGGTCAATGTACAGTTCGTGATATAAATACAAATGGTAATGATGCTGTACCTACAGATGGTAGTCCAAATCTATTACAAATGGGTAGTCCTCAACATTTACTTTTAATGGATGATATAATATATCAATATACTGGTGAAAAACGATGTCGTGATCGAGTTTGGTGTCATGTATGGATTGGTGAAAAACCAATGCCAAATGATACAGTTGAACATCGAGAATGGCATTGGGCAGCAAGTGTTAATAATGAACCATTACAAAATTTGATTCCAATGAAATTAGTTTTAAGACGATATGTATCTGGTATTCTACTTTTTTCAGTTGAAATTAGTAAGTGAAGATCATTTGAAAAAAATAATAAAATTTATTTCTTTTTTCTTTTTATAGATATTTTCAATTATCGTCGTCGTCCAATGACAATATTTGAAATTGATTATACATTAGCTAACTGTTATCGTGCTTTAGGTCCAGCTGGTAAAATATTAATTTAATATGTTTATTTTGAATTTGAATTTTTTTTTCTTTCTTTCTTTTTGTTTCGTCTAGAAAATTACAGTCTTGCAGTTTTGTCATTTGCAATAGCAAATGATAAAAATTATCCAGTATTGGAAAATTTAAACTTTTTACGTCTTCACATATTTGAAACATTAATATTTACAATGTTTGTTCGACCAACACGTATCTCAAATTTACTTGTTGATAAAAATAATACGGATATTATAGTTACATTTACATTATTGGATGTACCACCACGTACTGGACCTGTAGAAGTTCCATTACAAGAATTATCATTAGATACAGTTATTCAACGTTTTCAAACAATAATTGATTCCGAGGGTCTTACTTTTCGTGCTAGATATGGTGATTCAAAACAAGTTACTTTACGTGCACGTGCTAAATCACTTAATGTTGTTCAAAATACACAAAACAAATGGTTAACATCAGGTTCAAAAATAACTGGACTTTGGATTGGCTTTATTATCCTTGGTCTTGCAATTGGGGCAGTTGGTGGCTTCTTTGTATTTCGACGTATGGCAAAATAGTAGAAGACCATTCAATCAATCAATCATAGATAAACTCGGTTTTTTTTCCTATTTGATATTTATTTCTATGTAACGTTTGTGTGTGTGTCTTTTTTTTCCAATATTTATAATACACAGTAATAGAGAAATGTTTTATAAAATAAATGATTATTATTATTATTATTAACAAGATCGAGAATAAAGAAATTCAAATAAGATTATTTACTGTTTAGCTTTAAAATGACGCAAAAAAGAAGATAAGTTTCTTCTTTTTTTTTTACTTATCATACTTTCTGCTTTGAAATGATAACAAAAACAAGAATGTTTTTTTTTTCATGAAAATAAATAAAACACTTCGCTGTTGTTTTTCTTTCTTTAGTAAGCAAGTAAAGAGAAAATGTTAAAGTTTTAACTTTTCTGAATTATATCATTGATGTTCGTCGATTTCATTGAGATTAGTTTATTTAGATGGTTATCAATGATTTCAACAACTAAGAATATTGTTTAAGCTTAACAAATTCTATTAAATTTTCCAAAAGCAAAACACAATTTGATTATTTGATCTTACAGAAAGATACAAAAAAATAAAATATGAATGCTTAATAACTTAAGTAAAAACGTAATGTATCAACCAAAAAAAAGAATATTTAATGATAAGAATGCTGTCAAGTAATAGCGTAACCAGGGTAGAACCTGGGGTTCACCCTTACTACCCACAATTTCACCTTACCGATCGAATTTTTATATCAAAATAAACGAAAGTCATCTAGAACATCTCACTTCGAATTTTGAATTATTGAAGATTTATATATTATTTTCGGTTAAAAGTATTAGTATCGTTTTTTTTTTATCCCTGAATCCATTAGATTTTGAATGCACTAATCAATATCTTATGTTATTTCTTATGATTCATACCTTCTAAGAAAAAACAAGGCCAGATTGAAATATTTTACCAATATATAAAATTCATAAAGCCCAATACATCAAAACCAAAAACAATTGCGTCTTTCTTTCCACTATCTTCATCGAAAAAAGCAAAAGTTAAGTGGTCAAGAGCCGTACCCCTCATCCACATCTATCGAAATATCAACACAATTTGTTTAGCTGAAACATCAAATCTGTTGTCTACAAATGATTCAATTAGTAATGCACATACTGATATAACTGCTATATACGATCAATTTATATCAATATTATTTACATCGAATATGCCATCAACGTCGTCACTATTAACATTGTCAATATCAGCAATATCATCATTCTTAATAGCTATCGATACTAGTCGTCCATTAGCTTATCCATCACCACAACTTTGTTTTCATAACCATCAAAGCTTTCAACATGTTTAACATCATCATCATCATTATTTGACTATTGATATCAGTTATTCATCAGTTGATCCATTTGGCCAATCTTTGTTTGTTGATATAGCGAACATGATATAGATATAAATTTTGAACAGTTTATTGACGATTTTTTTCAGAGATTCATAAAAATAGTCGGACTATGCTCAAATACATAGTTATCTTTTTTGTTTTTATAATATTTTGTTCTTATATATGAACGAGCTGGTTATGCATCTAGGATAGCTAGTGTGGAAATCTGCAAAGTGATCGAGGTCTCGATGAGATCGGCACTTATACCATTTCAAGCTGGTCGTGGCGTTTTTCCTATCAAGAACTAGACTATACATTTTCATATTTATTGTTTTGTTGTTACTAAGAATCTGCAAATTTGCCATCATTATTTATGATTCTGATAAAAGTCTTTCGCTTGTCCTGATTCCGATATCAAGAATCGAGTTTTTTTCGATAACTTGTATAAACTTTTAAATAGGCGGATCGATACAATATACATCGATTTGGTTCGATAGCAGTTTAACTACTCTTTGGATTGTGCATTTTTCGTCGCTGTTTTCTTATTTCTCTTATAAATTCTTTAATGTTGTTATTGTAAGTATTTCTCTATATTTAAAAAAAAACAACTTTATTACTATTTGAGAATGCAACCATAAATCTAAAAATTTAGACTTAATCTCGCAAAAAAAAATTGCTTGTTTTTAAAAAAGAATGGAATCAGAAGCAATACAAAAATTTTAACCAAGATCGAAACCGACAAAAAAAAGTGATTTGCAGATCCCAAAGCCAGTGTGCACATATCATCTTTTAACGTCGATGCAATGTTATCTTTAGAATTTAGCAATATCATTTTGGCGTATATAAAATTGGCTAATGTCTAAGGAAGGTAAAAAACAGATTCGAGGGCTGAGTTTTTCCACGCTTAAATATCTGGTTATGCTACTACTGTCAAGATTAAATTAATACGTTATTCGTTCAATCTAAAAGCATATAATAAAAATTTATTTTCTCGAGATTAATAAATAGATAAATACTATTGTGTGAATAGAGTCGAAAGATTGGAAAATTCCATTTTGAATCAAGTATTCAATTTTTTTCTGTTTTGAGAACATAGAATTACAAAAATAAAAGAACATATACGTGAATTTTTTTCATATACATATATAATATCAAATTACCGGAACAAAGTTTGTGGTATTTTAATAAACATTCATAGACAAATCATAATTCTTAATTTTGATCATGTTATGACGTCAATGGGAAAAAAAATCACAACATTTTCATGTAGAAAAATAATTGAATATCTATATGGGCGTGGCCAGTCGTGTTGGCATCCCAAGATATAGAATAGGAAATAATATTATTTTAGGGAGGAGTATATAATGAATTTTCTCTACCAAATGAAAGCTCATCAAAAATGAGATTTATTGGTACTAAATAGAAAAAATTTTGTGAACTTTATAATGTTGATCTTCAAAAATTTTGAGAAATTTTACACATATTTGGCATAGAAAACTAAGATATCAATTATATATGGACGAAAAACAGTAGTTTTTGTCATAAAATTAGCTGTCTCCATTATTTTTACTATCTCATATGTCTCGAAACATGTTCAATAGATGCGGCGTAGAAAACTGAATCAAATAAGTGTATTTCGAAACATATGAGATAGTAAAAATAATAAAGACAGCTAATTTTATGAAAAAACCTACTGTTTTTCGTCCATATATAATTGATACCTTAGTTTTCTATGCTAAATATGTGTAAAATTTCTCAACATTTTTGAAGATCGACATTATAAAGTTCACAAAATTTTTTCTATTTAGTACCAATAAATCTCATTTTTGATGAGCTTTCATTTGGTAGAGAAAATTAATTATATACTCCTCCCTGAAATAATATTATTTCCTATTCTATATCTTTGTATACCAACACGACTGACCACGCCCATATATACTATTCAATATGTTTAATCATTATTTTGTTCTTTAATTTTTGAAAATTTTTTCGATCAAAATTTGAAAATATTTTCTGTTGTATTTTTCAAATATTTATTTTCAATATTTTATTCAATTCATTGTTTGCTCAAATTAAAATATATAATTAAATACTATTGATAATTGATTATGAATTTAATTGTATTTATCCTATGATCTCTACAATTTATATTATAATTTTTAAAAATAAAATAAATCTCATTTTATAAGATCTGATCATTTCGATATCCCTTTCGATTGTATATACTTTTTATGTTTATTGTTATTTTAGATAATGCCATTTGAAGATGAAAAACAAGGACTGTTTTGATATAAAGACTTGAAGGACATCCATATAAATATGTACAAAGTTATATCTTAGAAATAGATGTATACAAATAAGAAAAGTTTCTCTATATTTACAAAAAACCAACTAAAGAAAAAAAAAATATATATATATATGCTTGGTTTATGTCAGCTTAGCTTGATCGAACATACATATACAACGGTAAGTAAGTAAATAAGCGTTCAATAATATATAAACTAAGTCATTTTTGTAAACGTTTATTTTTATAATTTTGCCTAGGAGTTACACTGACTTTGCATATCATTTATTGATCAATATTTTTTTTCTTTTTTTTTTCTTACGCTTAGTCAGTTACATATTCTCACATTTTCTCTCTGTCACTCTGTCGTGATAATTGTATAAAAATCATTATTTATATAATAATCATCTAGAGGAAGCAAAAAAAAACCAATCTCTATACTGTATAGTCGCACAAGGTATTTTTCATTATAATGATAAAACTAATCAAAATGACCTGTGTCAATAGTTTTTATTAATCGACTGTTTATTTTCTTTCCTTGCTTAGTGAAGCAAACTTCGTGTATATTACTCGTTATATATTATATATTATATATATATATATATATTGCCTTCTCTTGTACAAGAAATCCTTGAGGTATGTATAAATATATGAGCAAATGTTAAATCCAATATTTAAGATCTTGAGAAAAAAATATATTATATAATATAGTATGGTTCAAATCGTCATAATCGTTCTATTTTCTTTCGTCTGTCACATTGATTTCACATTGAAGCACTCAAATTATGTTCTCAGCTTGTCTTCTTCTATTAAGATTTATTATTGTTATTGGAAAGAAAAAGAATATTCCTTCTTCATTGATCTGAAACTAGAAATCAACAGATTCACACGTAGCTACTGACGAAAGATGTCCGATGAGTGATTAATTGATGAAGCAACAAAAAATTGACAGAGACACAAAAAGCATGGAGAATAGTGTCGAGTGAAACCATAAGGTCTCTTATTCTGTCTTTTTGATTTTATTGATAATCAGTACATCAGACGAAAATATGTTGATATTATTTGATAGTACTTTTCGGACAAAATCGATGTGTTTTTTTTTTTTTGTTTTCTAGTACTCATGCCCTTTCACTTGTTCATAATTGGTAGATCATCGGATGGAATGCTTGATATATTATTGATTCTCTAATTAGAATATAGTTTATTCTATATTAAATATACGAATATTTGTTTATTTAGCATTAAGAAAAAGAAAAACATTTTTTTTTTGTTGGTGTTATTTTTCTCATTCGAAATCACGTGTTATTTGAATTGACAACGTGATAATTAGCAACTTGTATTTTCGTTATTTTTTTCTCACTTATGAATAGATAAATTAAATGATCATTGTTATAGTGTGATGCATGATTTATTTTTTACCTCTTATCAAATGTTGATCTTCTCTAACCAAATGAATAGATCAATCATATATAATATATATATATATATATGATTCAAAGTAAAAGTGCATCACTCATTAAACGAGTCGATATCTTTCATTAAAATGATTGGCAAACATACTCATTGACGGCAGTAGCAAACGAACTCGCTTATTAGACCGCACTATTGGGTACTTGTGACACTTCTAGCTGATCTATTGACAAGAGAGTTGTTTTTCATACAAATACAAAAAAAAAGCTATCTTTATCATCGAATCAATATGATATATATATATAAAGTATTTCCGCCATCGAGTCACGAAGATCAAATAGCATCATCTGAAATAAAGTATGTTCAAGCAATGGCATTCAGAAGAGTATTGCTGCTTCTATATGATAGTCTTTCATTCTTTTGCCTTGTTTTTTGTTTTCTCTCTCTCTCTCTCTCTCTGTCTATCTTGTTGTAATGTTTAATGTAGAAGTTATATGTTCCTAGCTGCCAACATCAAAGTAGATTGAATCATGAGACAAAAGCAGACAGATTTATAGTGAAAACAGCAAGATGCTTATTGTCATGAGATCGGTAAGTTTATCTTAAGAAAAAAATATGTCTGTTAATATATACGATTGCTCATATAAACTATTACGTTAACAGTTTCATTGTTGATGATTGTGTATGTGTTCACGGTCTATTCTGAAAGAAGGATATTTTATTTTCAGTGTATAGATAGGATGTCAACAGACCCCTAAGCTAGTTGATAGACATTGATAAAATCTGTCAACAAACTTTTACATATGACTGTATTTCAATACTCATTTAGATATCCTATGAAAGACAAGCCAAACAATAGAAAAGAAAAAGATATCTATCAGATAATCTATTAACTATAAATAATTGAAAATATGTATCACAAAAGATTATGATAAAAACAAAAACCTAAGTCGATTGTTAAAAATAACACAAAAAAATTGTACGAAATATTTTTGAGATATATTAACGAATGTATAAAACATTAGTTTCGACAAGGAGAGTTTTACTCATTCATTGAAGAAAGATATATATGTGCCTGTGTGTATAGGAAAAAAAGGTTAGGGGGCAGAAGATTTGTTGAGTAAACATTATCAAGAGAAAAAATAATTACCCAAGATCTTTTGCCTATCTGAAAGAGAGAATTTTCTTCCCCTCTCTCTTTCTTCTACCGTATGGTACCTCTAGAATGTACACTAGCAACTCTATAAATCAACAGACGACAGTAGTTGCCTATTTGATAGCTTTGATATTTTTACCAATGGAACAAGAAAGCAAGCGAGTAGGATTATTTTTTTTACCGAGGTGATTTATACACACCTTCGCAAAAGAAAAAATGCTCACAGTAGTCTCTCTCTCTCTATCTCTCTCTCTATCTATCTATCTCTTTTTTTTGTTGTTTCTTTCGCATGTCGTTTTCTTTTTTCTTTACACAAATGAAACATATTATCATCCATATGTAGAATGATGTTGTGTCAAAAAATAAAGCATTCAACGATTGTCCTAGTTCAATGACAAAATATATTTTTATATTGATGTTGTTTTTTTGAGACGAAGGTTTTCTTTGTTTTTCGCTAGAATAACACAAATTGATCTGATCGATTCTGATAGAATCGTGTGAAATGTTCTAAAAGAAAAGCAAATAGAATGGGAATACTATTTGATTTGATTACGTTAGCCAATTCATCTAAATGCAAATCAGTGTGTTATTCTGGTTTTTTTTCTTGTTCTTAGCTTTGATTACCATCGTTAGTATTATTTGATTTTTAAACGTTGACAGGTATGTAAATAAATATATATATATGTATATATATCTATATATAACTTCTACATAGATAAAAATCTCCATCTATTGAATTTAGTAATTTCAAAAACTAAACATTGATTTATGTCATACATAGAAAAGAGAAGAAAACGAAGAAAATATCTAACTAATGTGGATTAATCCCAAAAGTAATTCAATCTCGATAGACTTATAAACTCGACTAGCAAATTTTCTATTAAGAAAATATGACTTTTCGAGAATGATGTACTTGAATGAACAAAAAACAAAATCATCTACATATATATATATATTAGTATTCATAATTGTTTTTTTTTCTTGTAGTATGTCTGAAAATAGTATGTGTCTTTTAATTAATAATTGTACAAGTACAATAACAACAGCAACAGCAACAACAACATCTTCATCAGGTGCATTATATAAAACAATTCTTATTATAGTTGGTGGTACAATATTATCTTTTTTAACAACTGGTGGTAATTTACTTGTATTAATATCATTTCGAGTTAATAAACAATTACGTACAGTAACAAATTATTTTTTATTATCACTTGCTATAGCTGATTTTACAATTGGATTTTTTTCTATGCCAATTTTTTTTACATTTTTTGAACAAGATCGTTGGCCATTTGGTTCATTTCTATGTCATGTATGGCTTAGTGTTGATTATACAATGTCAAATGCATCTGTTGCTAATCTTTTACTTATTTGTTTTGATCGATATTTTTCTATAACTCGACCATTAACATATCGATCAAAACGTACACCAAAACGTGCATCAATTATGATTGGTTGTGGTTGGATTATTTCATGTCTTATCTGGACACCGGTAAGATACTGAGGTCAAAATATTGTTTGACAAAAAAAAAATATAATAATAAATTCTTTTTCTTGTAGTGGATTTGGATTTGGCCTTATGTTGATGAAAGATTACCAGAAGATGAATGTCGATTACCATTTGCTTCTAAAGCAACAGGTAATAGAATGAAATAAATAAATAAATAAAAAAAAAGACCAATATTTTTGCTAATTTTTCTTTAATATTAGTGGCAATACCAACAGCTATAGCTGCTTTTTATTTACCAGTAACATTAATGTGTTTACTTTATTTTCGTATTTATCGTGAAACAGTTAAACGTCGAAAAGAATTACATCGTTTACAAGCTCAAAATCATATATCAAATTCTCAAACACCAACATCAAATATTAGTTCAAATGATCGTTTAACAAAAAATATAAGTACAATTGGAACAACATTAATTAATGATGGTGATGAAAGTATTTCAACAGATTCTAATCGTTCACGTGGAAAAATTTTATCTATACAAAATTCTTCAACTAATAAATTTATAGAATCAAATAAAATACAAAAAAATAAAGTTCATCATACTTTTAATTGTTGTCGTAATAGAAGGTAAATATGTTTTTTCAATTAGTTTTCTATATATATATATATATATA